ACTAGGAGCTTAGTAGCTGATCTGTGGAACATATATCAGCAAATATTAATGACAATCAGGATGAGCTTTGACTACTGTCTGTTTTTGAGTATCCGAAGAAGTTAATTGGCCACAACAAAGCTTTCAAGATTGAAATCAGGGAGATGAAATACAAAATGAGGGAGCAAAAGGTTGCGCATAATTAATTTTCTCAGATTTTCAGAAAGCAGCCTAAGTAATCTGTCTTTGATTGGATTAATCTTCTTAATGCAGGAACAAGGAGGAGAACGGTGCAGCAAAAAATAAAAGCTTATAGGGATCGGAAATGCTCAGCCGGTAATAGAAGAAAGAATAAGCCCCAACATCCAGGCATAAATCACTTCAAAAAGGAAGTTATAAATGAATGCACAAACAGGAGAACAAATCTGCATGAAAGCATTTGGATTCAGCCCCCTAGTTCTGGAGTTTGCCTTTTACCAGCGGTAGCTCTGGGCTCCTATTTAACATTTGCCCTCCACTCCTTCTAGGCAAAGCTCAGAGTCTGCAAGCCTTCAGCTGGAAAAAGCGCAGACAAGACAAATGGCTCCAGCACTGCCGAAAGCCCGCCAAGTGTCTGAAAGACTAGAGCCACAGTTCAGCAGGTTCATTTTCAAAAGTGCACTAAAAAGACTGATTATAGATCTGCTGAAAGTAAACCTGTCTGTGTGTTTGCTTTAAAATTATGCTGCTGTGCTGCTGTTTTGGCCAAAGCAACACGTACACTTTAGTGCTCCATTAAAAATGTTTCTTGGAGTCGCATAATGAAATGAGAAGACCTATATAAATTCTAGGTATGTGATTTTTACAAAACATAGTTTAATATTTGATTGTACGCAGAGCCGGGGGTGCAAATGTCATGCAAATACGTAACTTTATAGCAAATCAAAAAATCCGGGGTAAAACCAAAATAGGACTTGCCCACACACACACAAAAAAAATAAGCCAGAGAGGAGCATCAGGATATCAATACAAGAACACCAACAGAGAGAGCACCAGAAGAAATATGCTGCCATCCACGCCCCCCCTCTGGAACTAAGGAACTGCAGCGGGAGATCAGAAAAGCCCACCGGGAAACAGCGCACCAATGTGGTGAGAGAAGCAGGAGAAGGAGGGGAAAGACAGCGGGGAGACCGAGCTAGGAGAGGCTACAGCTGGCCGAACCAGATCTCTAGAGGTTAACTGGCGGGAGATGGAAGGAGTACACCGGATGATTAGCTTAGCCTGCCGGGCAGACAGAACGGCGAAGACGAGGAGAGAAGGCATTAAAGGGGAACACCGTTTTTTTTTTTTTTACATTGGGCCCTTGATTTTACGTTATTACATCATGTTCTACTCATCCATATTAGTTTTGTGTCATTCGGAGCTGTTCTGAAGATATTCGGTTAGGTTATATCCAAATAACGTCTTCCTTTGGGCAACGACTTGAAGGCACAAACTAAACAATTCATAATTTGTTCTTTATGGTACGCCAGCATTCATAACATGTAGGCGAATCATTGTCCCCCAGACATCCGCAGTTATAGTTTTTATATTGATATATTTTTTTAAAAAGCGGAGTGTGCATGACGTCATCCGCGCGCGTTGGCTACCGTTCATTCATCCTGTCCGCTGAACTGCTGCTAGTTTTACTCACATGCCTGGAAGATGTCTAGTGCTTCTACCACAGATGATCTCGCTCTCGAAATGGAATAGAACGATTCAGATTAGCTAGCCGAATTAATATAAGGGGTAGAGCGTAGCCGCCTGTGGCCCGGGCTGCCTGTCACAACGCCAGTCCGGTGCGCGGATGACGTCATACACACTCCGCTTTGTTTTAAAAAATATAAATAAAAAAAAGTTTTGGACACACCTTCTCATTCAAAGAGTGTTCTTTATTTTCA